CTTCCTTTTATGGGCTTCTCTGCGGCGCTGAATTTGGCAAAGGCACGTCACATCACAGGGGGCTCGTCTCTGTCGAATTTGCTCTTATAATGCCTCTTTGGCTCCGTTGCTGCATGCTTTTCTGTCTCCCTCTCATAGTTGCGCTTAGTCATCAAGCTCTACAGGTTAGAGTTTAGGCTTTAGGGCGTTGGGTTTAGTGGCTCGAGAGAATCTAGCCAGTTTTATCTTTTTCGTCTCCGGGCATCTAGGCTATCCCTGAAGCCTTGCCGCGTGTGCCCCTTAGCAGCTATAAACGCCCAAAAGTAAGCGCACTGGCTCCTGGCCCCTTCTTGGCTCTCGCCCTTTACTTCTTGGCTGCTACACTACCTTAAAGAACGTGCCATTGAAGGAGTGTGGGGAAGCAGTGCAGGCCTCTGCTGCCCTTGTTGTATGCATTTGCACCTCTTGCTTTTTGCTCCTGGCGCTAGCCTGCTAACCAGGGTTTCTGGGGTCTCTGCAGCCTGGCACTAAGTAGCTGCGTAAGTCTCTAGGCGCTTTGCTGTGGGGCGCTGGCCTGCTAGCTTAGGGCTCTACGGCGCTGGGTAGGGTAAGGGGCTTAGGCACCATGAGGCATTGATCCACCACCGCCTGTGTCTTCTGGTTCGTCTCCAACATGTCTTCGTGGATATAGAGGAGACTGTTCCTGCATGCGAAAAAGGAGACACGCATGGGGGCAACCAGAGATACCTCGGGCACTCCTCAGCAGCGGTGGACCGTAGGGCCTAGGATCTAGGGTTTAGGGTTTAGGGTTTAGATCGCCAAACCGCCTCTCCCTGCTGTGCGCCCGTGGCCCCGCTGCAGGGCACAAGGATGTAGCTGGGTCGGTGTGTTCGAAGTTTAGCTTTCATAACCCTCCAACTTTCTCTGCAGTGGCGGGTAGGAGACAGCGAAGAGCAAGCAGAGGGCCCTGGGGCTCACTTGAGCAGTTGCGAAGTGGTGGGTGCTGCGTAGGAGGGCACTGGGGGCCTGGAGGCGGGGGAGGCCGGGGGCGGGGGGGCCCTGGAGGTGACGGCCGCGTAGAGGTCTGTGAGGAGTTCGACGCAGGCCTCTGCCGCAGCAGCAGGAGGCGACGGAGACAGCGAAGCCCGGGAGAGGGGCAAGGGGACAGCAGCCACAGACACCAACTGATTTAGAGACAAAGCACGTTAAGAGAAGAGACGCTGCAGAGGCCGGGCGGCCACAGAGAGCAACGGAGAGAGAGGGGAAGTGGCGAAGAAGCCAAAGGAGCCCAGAGACGCAGCAGAGAGGGACAGACATAGGGGAGGCAGGAGACAGGCAAATGAATAAAGGTGACAGGCAAAATGGGGACAGAGGAGGCAGGTAAAAGGGGAAAAGGACAGATTCAAAACGGGACTGGAAAAAACGGAATAGAGAAGACAGAGAGGACGGGAATAAAAGAGGCAAACAAGGAGAGCAAGGAGACGGAAAAGACAGACAAAAGCCACTCAGAAAACGAAAAACGGCGGCGGACAAAAAGAATAAAGGAAACAAATAAAAAAAGGAGAAAAGTTGCAGCCGCAGCAGAGGCGGCAAAGTGACCCACCCCGGCTCTGGTGCAGACACTCCTCCACTTTGGAAGGGGACAAAGGAACGCCGAGGCGTCTGCACAGAAGCTCTAAGTAGGCCCAGTTGCGCCTGCGGGCCTCCAGACTCGATCCCGTATCCAGCATCAGGGCCTGCACCTCCTGAGAGCCCATGCACCCCACAACGCTCGCTGCATCCCTCGCAGCTGCTTGTTTGCCTGCGCCCAAGCTTTAGCTTATGTCTGCTGCTTCTGCTGCTGCTGCTGCTGCTACCACCATTGCTGCTGCTGCTGCTTCCTTTCCAGGCCCTGTCTCTGTGCGCGCAGTTTGAGGTTGTGTTGCAGCGCCTGTGACTCTGCTGGACTAAACTGGCACTTCCTAAGGCAGGCCAACAGCAGGCCTGGCGCTCAGCCGAGCTGGGGGCAGAGCTGGAAAGCGGACACTACTGATAAGGTGATAAGAGAAGCACAAGTGAAAACAGAGACAAAAAGGAGGCGAAAGAGCAGGGAGACAAAAAAGCAAACAGCTAAGAGAAGCTCGACGGAAAAGCTAGAAAAGACAAAAGTAAAAGGAGGCAAAACGGAGAAACGGGACCGCAAAGAAAGAAGGCAAAGGAGAAAGGACAAACGAACTGCGGCCCGAAAGGGGGCAGCCAGCAAAAAGGGGCAGCAGACAGGAGAGGTTCAAGAAAGAAAAACGCCCCAGCAAAGGCTAAGGTAAATAAAGAGGAAAAGCGAATCAAGGTGCTGAGTTAGTAAGGGTCTACGTAGAGCAATAGGATTTATTAAGGTGCTGTAATATTAGCTCTAGCGTTGGTAGAGTTTTCAACAGGCATGCAAGAGGCAGCAACGACCCAGCAGCATGCGCCAGCACAAGCAAGTTAAGGAGACACAGAGGGCTGGGAGAGCTCAAGCAAACAAGCTGGCAGTGGCGCTGCTGCTTCTGCAGCAGCAGCAGCAGCTGCTGCTGCTGCGCACTTTAGGGTGAGCCAGCTCCAGCAGCTGCGCCGCCAAGACCCCACTAGACATGCCCCACTTGATGCCCCGGCCGTCGATCTGCACATTGTGGCCTTCCAGGAACTTCAACACTTCCCGGGGCACCCCGTCGAGCCCTCCCCCCATTTCCCCGCAAACCTTAAACCCTAAATCCTAAACCCTAAACCCGCGCTGCAGCTCTGCCGGCGCTTGGCGCCACTCTTGTGTGCAGCCTGTCTGTCAATTTCTTTGTTTGCTGCTAACAGCTAAGTCCTAGGGACTAAGCTTTGCTGTGGCGAGTTAGGCGGTAGAGCCCCGGCCCAGGCTCCACACCCTAAACCCTAAACCCTAAACCCTAGACGCTAAACCCTAGCCCCTAAGCCATAAGGGCCGAAACCTGGCTCGCAGCCTCGGGCAGAAGGTCCTTGGCCCTGACGGCGGGCTCGAGGCATGATTTGGTCTTTTATTGTTTTTCTTCGTTTTTCTTCGCTACTGTTTGCCTGGGCGACTCCTGCTGCTCCGTCAGCCCCCTAAAGCCATTTCGAGGGCAGTAAAGGGAGCTCAAAGGAAGGAAGACAGACTCAGAAGGTAACAGCCGCAGCCTCCTAGTCAGGAGAACCTTGGGGCTGCATGCATGCATGCATTCAGGCGCTGCTAAGGCAGACCTGGTTTGAAATTAGCGAAATAAGCAAGAAGTTTCATCTACATATATGAATATTAATATGATATATTCAATAAAAGAAAATATCAAAGAAAGGCTAAGAGGCTATAAGGCTTCATTGCTGGGCTGTGTCTGCACTTCCTCCAGCGCCCAGCGAGCACAGTGCCTCCGTAGTTGGGACCGTGGCAACAAGGGTTTAAAGAGCAAACAATACAAAAATGAGAATAAAGATAAAAAATAAAAGTAAAAGGAGACCACTCGGCTTTCGACAGATCTACATGGGGCGGTGACTCAGCAAAAACTCTGTGACTGCCATTCGCAGCTTGCGAGCTTGCTATCTATGACGACCAAGCTGGCTACCTAGTTACCCACTAGCTATCTATACAGCTAGCTGGATAGCTAGCTAGCCAGCGTCGTGGCTACTTACCCAGCTAGCTGGATAGCTAGCTAGCTAGCATCGTGGCTACTTACCCAGCTAGCTGGCTACCCATCAAGAGTTGAGTGTTCGAGTTTATCTCTTAGCTTTGCCTGCACATGCACTGCACTGGCAATAAAGCCAGGCCCCCTAAGTCTGCTGAGGACTCCCCTAAAGACTCCAATTAGTACTGTGGCTCTCCAGCCACAGACAAGTGCAGCGAAAGGCTGGGCTGGGGCCCCCCGTGCTGCAGCATTGGCTGCACTGTGCTGCTGGGGGCCCCAGACCGTCACTAAATTTCTTTTAGTTATTAGTTTTCCAAGAAAGATGAAGCCGCCGCCAGCTGCACAGAGTCACACGCGCTTTATAATATTGATTACTTAATCAATTTGCAGTTCTCATGCTTCTTTTAAGTGAAAACCATATCAGTGTAAGGCTTGGGGCACTGTGTCCAGCCACGGGGGTCTTGCTGCCGCTGCTGCTGCTGCTGCTGCTGCTGCTGCTGCTGCTGCTGCTGCTGCTGCTTGCTCCCAGCCACGTGGCTGGCTGCCTCCAGCAGCACGTAAGGCATCACTTTTTGGCCGCACTTTTCTGTTGCATCTGCAGCACTCCCTGCTGCGCCCGCAGCCAGGAGAGTCCCTTGCAATCGGCGCACGGCAGCAGCAGCAGCAGCAGCAGCAGCAGCAGCAGCAGCAGCAGCAG